GTGCAGATAATATGTTGTAAAATGCACTATTTCTGAGACTTGAAATCTTTTTATTTTTCATGGTCATACATCTCGATGTCAAGATGATCAATCAAAGGGTATTTCAACATTAAAACTACTTTTTCCGATGCATTTTTGAGGTGCATCCGTAGTTCAACATGTTAAGGTTGCAACCTTATATAAACTTTTTCCTTTAAGAAAATCCCAAAAAATATATCCTAAAATTAATAAGAAATATTCAAAAATAAGAGGCTTCTTCTCCAGTATCATGTAACCATGTCTTACATGGAAAATGGAGAATGTGATTAGTTGCGCATCAATATCATCAATAGCAAGAAGTCATTAATAATTAAGGTATGGAGCAAAAAGGTTGGCTGCCCGAAGGAGCTATCACAGCCCAAACATCTGGTGCACAGAAAGGTGTCTTAACAATCAACCAAAACTTCTCAGGGCATATCCGCTTCACCACAAGATTCAGGTGATCAAATTCATTTCTGAAGATGAAAAACTCACTTTGGAGTAAGAATTTCCATTGCTTTTCCAAAATAGCAGTGGATCGAGAACACACATTGTTAGCGTAGTTTAAATAGTGGGAGTCAGAGTGGTTGGAGCCCTAAATTTCACCTAAACCTAGATGATGATGAAGCTCTTGAATTCACAGCCCGGTTACTTAGTCTAGGGACTATTTCATCCCTCTTCATGACAAAGACAAGATTATCTAGAGCCCCTCTCTGAAGGATCCTTTTCAGTTTCGTTACTCTAATGGTTCTTCTAACTGCGACAAACCAGAAATTTTCTCAGGTATAAAGGCCAGCAATGACTCCAAGAGTGGGGTTGGGTGTCTAGTTGACCTTACAGTCAAGCATATCGAAAGCAAAGGCTAACCCTCGCCAAAACAAAGCATTATGTGTAAGGATGGTAAGAAGACAGACATTCATCTCTTTCTTCACGTCAAAACAACCTACAATAGTTGGGCTTTCTTCCTTAAACAATTATGTTGACAATGCGCCACCCCTGATTCTGTTGGAAGCCTTATAGGATTGTGGCTTTCTCCGCCTTTTCCAACCTCAAGGCTACTGTTAGGGCCTGTTTGGATATTTGGAGATGCATGTTCTAGAGAGATCCCTCTCCTGGAATTGGCATCTCCTGGAATATGAGTGTCTACTGTTTGGTTAGCATCTGATAAGAGACCTGGAAAATACTTCCCCTATTTACATTTGACTGGAAGAGGTGCTTCTCAAAAATTTATTACATCCTCTTTTTGCATTATTCCCATCATATTGACTGGGCCAGAAGTTTAACCCACATGTTTTATGAAACCACTTGAAAAAATTTCTATGTTGAATCCATTGAGATATCACACTATGCTTAATTTTGTTTGCCCATATTTGACCAAAATCTTGATTTTGGGCCCCATTCAAAAAAAACAAGTCGTATTAGAAATGTATAGTGGCATTTCAATGATATTCCAAAATGGCATATAAAATTCAAATTTTACTTGACACATAAGATGGTATATAACAAGGATAAAGTCAAGATGACATTTACCTATAATTATAAAACAAAAATTGAGTCTTAAGCAATCCATGCTTAATTCCAATTGCTTTATAATGGAAGTCTAAAATGAAATTAGAGAGAGAGAGAGACATAGGTGAGAGCAACAGGAGTACATAGCACGAATGGCTAGCTCAAAGAAAAGGGAATGAAGCCCATAGAACTTGGATTTGCCCCACTGCACATACATCATGGACACCCAATGAGCCCTTTGTTCCTCAATCATTTTTTAGAATAACTCACTAGTATTAATGTCAGCAATGACATCGCTTAACGCCCTCACAATTACAATTTGACTGAGCAAACAACATCATAGACCTCCTTGATATGTGGTTTTTGTTCCCGAGTCATTTCTTCAAGTGTAACCGCAATTCCTGTAACAATGTTTGCCATCAACTCAATCATGTTTGCCATCAACTCAAAAAGATTTCTTTTTGTCAACCACTGATATCTTGTCTTTCTTTGAGCTTGAGTGCCCAACCATCAATAAGAGCCTTCTTTGATGCAGGGGAGTGAGAGGTGAGGGTACAAATGTACAAAGCAAAGGTAAAATTAGGGTAACGCGAGAGATAGAGTAGAGAAGTAAGAACAGAGAGCTTTGCTTTTATGCAAAGGGAGAGATAAATCCTTCTTTGGAGTGAAAGAGAAAGCAATGCAGTGGGGGGGGGGGTGGAGAGAGAGAGAGAGTAGGAAGTTCATGGAGATAGAGATTACCTGGGCTAAAGGCAAGAGGAGGGAGAGGAGAAAGAGAGAGAGAGAGAGAAAGCTTTGGCTGAGAATGGTGAAAGGCAATGGCGAGTGGAGAGAGAGCTTCGGCTGAGAATGACTTCGCTTGCTTAGGTCTTCGAGCTCTCTTCATTTTTAAGCGGACCTCAAAGTACGCCTTAACAGTTTTGGTTGAAAACAAAAGGATATGTGGAAAGAGCCATTTCCTGGAGATGTGCATTCCACCTATGTCGATGGAATACAGATCTCCATATTTTGGCCTCAAAATATTTAAGCATTGATTGAAATTCCATCCCCAAATGGCATCCAAACTGCGAAAATGTGCAGTCTTCATGGAAGTGAATCTCATAGAAAACCATTTACAGATCATGCTGCTTAGAAGGGCTCTGCTCCCCAGACCGACTTCATCCCAGATTTATGGCGGATCTAAACTGACAGGTAATACCAAAAGTCACCGCAAGGAATATTAGGGCACATCCTGGTGCAACTCGGATATGCGAGCCCGCGTTGAGATCAAACACGGACATGCGAGCCCGCGTTGAGATCAAACACGGACATAGGTTAGTCCTGCAAGACACCTTGGACAGAGGTGTATAAGCTCCTCCTTTGACTCAAGTGGAGGACACCTTGCTTTGGTAGGTGATAAAAACATGGATGCCTTAGCTTCCATCGCCTGCGACCTTGTTTGGCTTCTAAAGTCTCAGTTACCTTTGGAGAAAGGTTCCCCCCCCCCCCTCCGGCTTTGCCTTCCCCTTTTTTATTTTGGGGTGGGGTGGGGTGGGGTGGGGAGGTTGGGTGTATTTTATATGTTTGGTTTGCCCATCAAGTCTTTAATCTAAAACATTGAGATTTGTATTCCATCTAAATAAGTGGAATACAAATCTCCAAGAATGGCTCTTCTCATTGGAGCCGATTGTTTTCATTCGAAACCATTAAGACAAGCTTTCCGCTTAAAATGCACAGCGAGCCTGAAGCCCCAATCAAGCAAAGCCATTCTCAGTGGAAGCTTTATCTCTCCACTTGCCATCGCCTCTCACCATTCTCAGCCAAAGCTCTCTCTCTCCACTCGCCTTTATCTAGGTACTCCCTCCCCCCTCCCTCCCTCTCTTTATTACAATGCTCTCTCTCTTTCGCATCACTAAATAAAGATTTCTCTCTGCCTCTGCGAAAAAGC